GAGAGAGAGAGAGAGAGAGAGAGAGAGAGAGAGAGAGAGAGAGAGAGAGAGAGAGAGAGAGAGAGAGAGAGAGAGAGAGAGAGCGGGGGGGGGCAGAGGGAGAGAGAGACGATATTCCCGCTGTGATGGTGTGGAAAGATATGTCGTATGGTTATATATATTATATATCGGTTATTGTCCTCTTCTCCCTCTCTGCCTACGGTTTACAGGGCGCTCTGTTTGACGATATATATGTATGTATTACGTATACATACCTTAGTGTGATAATATATACCTTACTTCTTTCCTTTTTCTGTTTTTTTTTTTTTCGCCTTTGCGCTCCGATACACTGTGTGACGATATATACGGTGACTCAGACGGTCGCCCCCCAAAAAAGAAATAAAATGGACACAAGGTATTATCGTATGTTAAGACAACTTCTGGCATCATCTTATATATGGTCAAACAGAGCTGCCCGGTAAACCGTAGGCAGAGAGGGAGAAGAGGACAACAAACGAGGGGCTGTAACAAACTGTTTCGTCGGAGTGTCACCGACTCATCAGGAGGCTGAACTCTATATATATTGTCACCCTGTAAATCAGAGCGCGAAGGCGGAAAAAAGCAAAACAAGGAAAGGAAAAGAAGGAAGGAAGGAAAGCCCCACCTGTTCATCACCTCTTACGTACAAGGCCAGCCACGTGGATGACAGGTTGAGCGCTATATATGTGTATTTATATAGTCAAACAGAGCTGCCCGGTAAACCGTAGGCAGAGAGGGAGAAGACGACAACAGAGGGGCTATGACAAACTGTTTCGTCGGAGTTTCATATAACATATGCATATGAAAAGGTAAAATTAGTATTAGAATTTCTAGTTTTATACATGTGATGTATATACGCAGAGAGAGAGAGAGAGAGAGAGAGAGAGAGAGAGAGAGAGAGAGAGAGAGAGAGAGAGAGAGAGAGAGAGAGAGAGAGGTGGATGTGTTTGCGGAGAGGTGCAGAAAATTGCCGCCGTGAGTGTGGCGACTTTCGCTCTAGATACAKYGATAATGATCGTGCGTTCTATTSGAGGGAAGACGGCAGTTCGAGTTTCATCTACTGGTYGACATTGTCGGCAATTGGAGGATGAACGTTTCTACCATTTTGTTGAATTGATTTGATGTGAATTGACAGAGAGAGATTCGTTCCCCCTTGCCCCACACCCGCATCGTTCTCCTCACTTTCGACGTCACAATCAAATGAAATCATAATCCTCTCTGCTGTGCTGCAGACCCATTTCTTTGTTTGATTGATTGGTTGGGGCATTGGTGTTAATTGGCACAGAAGATGGACTCACAGATGCATTGAACGGATGAAAACGCCATAACCTGGTCATCGATAATCGACTGTAATTTGCTCCATCCCATCTACTACGTCTCATCTTCCTCGTTCACCCGCCGCATTTGTTTGTTTGCTAATTAATTAGTCTTGTACACTGTGCCACGTGTCAGGAGATCGATCCTGCAGAATACTAATTAACATTGTTACTGCTGACTTCCTGGAGTGGAGGGTTAACGTATACGCATGACAAGGTGAATTTCACGTTGCCATTGATTGTTTTTTGCCCCCCCCCCTCTCCCGCTAATTTGTAGTAAACTCTTGAACGCAGGTGGTGGTGACACGTGGACGGTGCATGCCATTCCTTGCAGCTGTGTGATCGACACGTCATCTCGAGGTGCCAGTCGCTCTGCGGGTAAGTTYCTTCTTCTCTCTCTCTCTGTCTTCTTATTCTTGTTGTTCTTCTTATTCTTCTTAGGGTTTTTGTGCGCCCTCCGGAGACTTGTACGTGTGGATCGATTTAATTAACTAATTAATGAATTTARTTAACTAATTAATGAATGAATTAATTAATTAATGGCAGCTTGTAAGAACTTGGGATCCGTGGAAGGAAAGCAGTATGGCCGCTTTTGGTCACTGTTCTTCTTCGTTTTCTTCTTCGTCTTCTTCTTCTTCTTCTACTTCTTCTTCTGCTCTTCTCTTTCGCCGTTCGCCTCTTCCACTGCCGTCCTCCCTCTGCTGTCTGCTTTTCCACCGCCTCCTCTTCCTGCTCTCTCTCTCTCTCTTTGTGCTTTTTTGCCCATGAAAACTCGTGCGCATCGTCGGGGGGGATTTTCAGTCCGACGAAGATATCCTAAAACACCTCTCTTTATGTATGTTAAGTATTTATTAAATATATATTATAATGTGCTACTAATCTACAATCATATTATTATATTGAATCAATAAAATCGTAGATGAGCTGGTGCTCGTCCAGCTCTCACCTTACCTGAGTGATGACATGGCAGGCCGTCTTATGAGAATTGATAAAGCCGTCCTGTCTCCCGAGGAGAAGTCGCTGGAGCAGCAGGGGCATGAAACATCCAACAACATATCTGTTTTTTTTTTTTTTTTTTCCCCCTCTTTCCTTTTTCTTTTTTAAACTGGGTCCTACTCTTTTGAACTGGGTCCTTTTTTTCCTTTCCTTTTGGGACGTGCGTCAAAGTTCGGGAAGGATACCGAGAAGAGTAGCAATGTGTGAAGCACCAAACACTGACTATGCACGAGCCGACTACAAGGATCGAACACGCGACCTCCATATCTTGAGGCAAACACTCAACCAAACGACCAAGTGGACTGGGGTGAAAATTGAGCCCGAAGGGTATAGTAACGGGCGCTGCTGCGCGTTTTTTTTTTTTTTTTTTTTCAATCATGACGTTCAGAAATAGAGAAATGGTCCACATTAAGCATATAGAAAGCTACCAACGGGCCTACATGTAGGTACCTCAGTTGGTACGCCTATGAACTGTTGAATCAGACCCAAGTTCGAATCCAGATGCGTCTTTTGGGACATCCGTTAAATTGGGAACGATACAGGGAGAGAAGATTAGCATGGCTCCTGCGCAAGGCTGCCACGCAGAAATCAAGCCAGATGCCATCAGTGGAACAGAAACAAAATCATTGTGAATTATTTGGGGCCGGTCAGTTCAATTATCACATCTCAGGCCGTCACCATTAAAAAAAAATAAAAATGTTGTATAGAAAGCTGCGCTTTCAATAATGACGTTCGCCAATAAGAGAGGAATTGTCCAAATTAAGGATATGTAAAAAAAAAAAAAAAAAACAGTTTTTCGGGACATCCGATAAAATTGGAAACGATTCACAAGGGGGAGTAGGGGTGCGCGGCAGGGAAATTGACGAGGGGGGACGGGAAGGAGGGGTTTTCTTAGGGGGGTTCAGTTCTCCGAGTAACCGAATGGCTGATTACACTGAGGGCGACTGTCATATGTCTAGGACTAGGATCCAACCTCTACAACAACCTGGATTTCTATTAAAAAAAACAAAAAACATAGGGTAATGATTTGCAAAGGAACCTCTACAACAACCTGGATTTCTATTAAAAAAAAAAAAAAAAACCATAGGGTAATGATTAGCAAAGCAAATGGCCCCTGCGCAAGGATGTGAGCTGTCACAACCACGAGAGAACTTGGTAGCGCACTCATGCGTTCATGCACTTCAATGGAGAAGACACACAAGCAACACTCGAAGAAGCTCGACTGCCGTCTCCAAAAAATGACATCATCATCTCCCTTGGACTCTTTCGTCAATACCACTAGGCAATACAAAATATATCACGGATGTCATCATCATTGCCACCCAACAGCACTTCGCCATGTGGCAGCATCGTCAAATCGTTGATGTCATCATTGTGATGACATTTGTTAAAGCGTTGATGTCATCGTTGTGATGACGTCGTCAAAGCGTTGATGTCATCATTGTGATGACATCACCGTCAAAGCGTTGACGTCATCATCATCATTGTGATGACATTGTCAAAGCATTGATGATGTCATCATTGTGATGACATCACCGTCAAAACGTTGATGTCATCATCATCATTGTGATGACATCGTCAAAAGCGTTGTTGTCATCATGACATCTTCGCTGTCATCATCAAAGTGTTGACGCTGCTACTGCCGACGAATCATGACGCCTCATCAGCCGTCGCTGACTCGGCATTCGTGAACTTCCATTTGCAAGGATGAGGATGACACGCATGAATCCAGAAATGGTCCATACAAAAAAGAAAAAAAAAAGTAATTAAAAAAAGCAACGGCCCCTGCGCTTTCAAAAACACGACAGAGAAAAAAGAAAAAACCCGAACGGGAAAGACTTGAACGTTTTGTAGAAGTAATGTGGACAGACTTCACAGAACTCTTTTTGTTCATCACTCTTTTTTTTCTGTTTCTTTTTCTTCTTCTTTTTGTTTTTTTTGGAAATCTGTCGGGGACGTTTCAGTCCAAATGCACAGCCATAATGATTGGCGGCGGGGGTGTTCTATTCGGGTGAAGATGTTAGTTCAGATTCAAAGAATCTGTTCAAGTGTGATGATGCACATTAACCAAGGTGTGATCATGCACATTAACCAAGGTATGATCATGCACATTAACCACGGTATGATCATGCACATTAACCAAGGTATGGCTGCACCATCGGCCTTTGTGATCATGCACATTAACCGAGTTGTGATCATGCACATTAACCGAGGTGTGATGCACATTAACCGAGGTGTGATGCACATTAACCGAGGTGTGATCATGCACATTAACCGAGGTATGGCTGCACCATGAATGATTTTTTTTCCTTTTTCTTTTCCACCTCTGTTGCGCTTCGTAAAAACGATGTGGTTGTTACACCCATGAGCTGTAGAACACAGACCGGAGTCCGAATTCTAATGGAATCAGATGAGTACAAACTAAAAATAACTCTGAGCTTAACTGGGGCTGTTCCGTTCAAAGATGATATCTCCAGTGTGTGGCCCTGTCTAAAAATAAGATTAAAAATAAAAATAAAAAATCCTTTAAAATTGGAGCATTACAGAGAAGATTAGCATAGCCCCTGCACAAGGATGACACACATAAATCGAGAAATGATCGAAAATAAAATAAAATAAAATAAAATGAAATGAAATAAAATAAAATAATATAAAATGAAATATATCGATATATTGACGATATATATCAACATGTGAAAACATGTGTGGTTCAGACCTATCCTTGTCTGCAGGTTGCAGGTGTGCTTCTGGTGGGCAGGCGGGTGTGGGCAATGCCCCTTCAACTGCATGTATGCAGGGTACCTTGCTCCTGAGACAGAAAACAACACAAACTCTGAAACTGAAATAAAAATGTAAGCAGTACAAGAAAGGGGAAAAAAAAAAAGAAATATATATTATATTATAAGAGGGTACTCACACTAGGCCCTCAAACTCGCAAAATCACAAAATGAGCGCCCGGATAGAGTCCTCGTAAAGGATGGACTAGATCTGGCCGCTGATTTTGGGCTTTTGCGATTTTGAGGGCCTAGTGTGAGTGTGCCCTCAATAATTGTGGTGTTCACGTTCCTCGTCATCTTCCCTTCCAGGAGTCGACAGACACGTAGCCATGGCTGAATGGGTGTGTTGAGTGGGGTTTTATGGCCTGTGACAGGTTAGTTTCTTAGACTTACTGTCATTCTTGTCAGGGGTTTGGACCGACGGTCTGCTAGGGTTGCAGGGTTGGTGTGTGAGGAAAGTCGACCACTTTTCTCTCTCTCAGGGATGGGTATCGCTGACGCCAGGCGACGTCGTGAGTCCTTATCCACCAGGCAAATGCATCCTGGGCAGACTGTCACGGATCAACCTCCTGATGAGTCGGTGAAAGTTCGGCGCAACAGTCTGGTAAAGTCATGCTGTGTTGTTTTTCTTTTTATGGACTTGTGTATAGCGAACAGGACAACACACGCACGCACAGAGAGAGAGAGAGAGAGAGAGAGAGAGAGAGAGAGAGAGAGAGAGAGAGAGAGAGAGAGAGAGAGAGAGAGAGCTGCTTCTGACCTATCATGCAGGCAAGGGAGAGTCTCTTCTATTTTGCTTCAGATAGTTAATACTGATTTGCAATCTTGTAAGTGATTTTTTATTTTTATATTTTTGTCTTTTTCCTGCGGGCGGTTCCCTAACTCGTTCTACAACCGCTCTACCTCGAAGTATTTGCTGTTTAGTTGCTGTTTAGTTGCTTTACTGTTTTGTTCTGCTTTACTATTTATTTACTATCCTTATCCATCTACTGCTTGTTTGGCTTTTTTTTCCCCTTTATTTATTTGTCACTGGAGAAAGAGAGGGAGCTTCTGATGCTTGTTGGTTCTTTCCTGTGGCATGCCATTTGTTATTCTGTTTTTCTTTTTTCTTTTTTTCTTTTTTTTCATGATCATGCAGCTGCAGATTTTTGCTGTTCCCTTTTGCAGGTTTACCCCTCCTCCGAAGTCGACATTACCATGGAGTCGGAAGGTCAAGTTAATGGCACATTTGTTTACGAGGTGGGTTTTTTCTTCCCTAAGAAGCTGAGGTCATCCATTTTTAGGGATGGATGGGCAGGTGGTTTTAATTGAGGGGAAATTGGGTCCAAACTTCTAAGCATGAAGTGTGTTTCCCTCTCTGCATTTCTCTGTGTTTGTGGGCGCGTGTATGTCTGTTTGTGTGTGTGTGTGTGTGTGTGTGTGTGTTGTCATGTCTGCTCTACACGACTCTGTAAAAAAAAACATGACTATGCCAGACTGTTTCGGTGGACTTTCACGGACTCATCAGGGGGGTGAATCGCGACGGTCTGCGCAGGATGCATTGGACTGATGGATAAGCACTCACCATGTTGCCCACAGTCAGCAACACCCTGAGAAAAGTGGTCGACTTTACTCAAACCAACCCTGCGTGTGTGTCTGTGTAAATGTCTCTGTGTGTGTGTGTGTGTGTGTGTGTGTGTGTGTG